AGGTGGGTCTGTAGTGTGCACTGTGGAATTCTTTCTGTAAAGAAACTTACGTTATGTCTGAAATTTTTCATAATAAAATGTTGGAGAAAATGCCATCAGTCCTTCAGGGCCTAGGTTATGTTCAGGACTTTGGGGAAGAAGACTTTCTAGACTTGCTCAGTTACTTGTGGCCAGTAACGTGTGCGTGTTATCAGGTCCTCTTTCATGGCATTCGTCGTGGTGGGACCTGGAGAGCTGGTTTGCTCTTTCAGCTCTGTCTCGGGCAGTGACCTCCCTGTGGACAAGCAGGTATCTTCTCTTTATATCCCTGATGCGCCAGGCAGGCATCTCGTAAGGGATAAAGGACATGGTCCCCACTTGACAGTAGAATTAGTTTGGAATGTCATACCTAACTTTGCAGTTACCTTTGCTGAAAGTCACGTTTGTAATGTAAAGTTGACTGGATCAAGCCCCACGCTCTATGTGCGTGTTTTATTTTGTAAAGATTTTACTTATTTATTTTAGAGAGCATGAGAGCATGAACAGGGGAGGGGCAGAGGAAGAGCGAGAGTGAGTCCCAAGCTGACTCCATGCTGAGCACAAAAGCCAGATGCAGGGCTCAGTTCTCAGGATCCTGAGATCACAACCTGAGCTGAAACCAAGAGTCGGATGCAGAACGACTGAGCCACCCTGGCACCTCTGTGTGTGTGTTTTAGAAGGGAGAGTACAGGAATTAGGGTTAATACTTCTAATACCCAGCACTCTAGTCATGACTATAAGAAAAGACAATGCTGTGCGGAGCCAAGGCTGCCAGTTGAGTTACGTCAGTGATAACTGGTGCCCTGAGCTCCCAGTCCTTGGTAAAGGACTTCTGCACCATAGGACCACAGTTCAGTTCCAGGGCTCTAGACCATGTGGATTCACCCCATATGGGAAGCCGTGCTATAGAAATGCACAGAAATTGGACTCAGAATGTTCTATCAAGGTCACTGACAAAAATCCATTCAGAACCTAGTTGATTTCCCCAAAATATGTACAACCCCAAATGCCAAGAAGATAGTCCTAAATCATTTGGAATGCCATACTTGTTTCCATAATGGGTAGGCATATTTTAATTCTGGGAAGATTTAGAATTGAAAATAGAAGTTTTTAATAGAAGCAAAGTCATAGTGTTAATATTTGACTTAGAGGATCTAGACATATTTGATGTTTCAAGTAATTATTTAAAATAATTTGGCCCATGCAACAGGTTAGCCTGTTTTTCCAAATTAAAATGGGAAATCAAGTAGCTGATTTAGAACTTGATTTTTGGGAAGGTTGAAGTCTTACTAGATTCATAAGCAGTATTAGAGTGTTTAAGATAATTTATTAGGTTCCTAAGAGTTGTTTAAGGAAAGGTTTTAGAAGTTAGGTCAAACAATTCTAGTAATTGAAAGAATTAAATGTATTCTAAATTAAATATGTAATTTTAAATGTTTAAAGGAGTTTAATGGCTTTGTAAGATGGACCAAACATTATTTGAATGGCTCTTTGATAGGATTATAGAGGCACCTGGGTGGCTCGATCTGACTCTTGATTTCCGCTCAGGGTCCTGAAATCGAGCCCCATATCTGACTCCCCGCTCAGCGTGGAGTCTGCTTGAGATTCACTCTCTCCCTATGTGCCCCCGCCCCCGCCCCGGTAATGCTCACACACACATTCTCTTTCTCTCTCTCTCTCTCAAATAAATAAATAAATAAATCTTAGGGGAAAAAACAAAAAAGAAAGTGATTATAAAAGTTATAGAAGTCATGCTTAAAACCTAAGGATGAGCTAGGGTGTTTAAACTTGTTTTTTAAGTAAATGAATAAAATACACATTTTTAAAAACCTGGTAAGCCCAAATAGCATTTCTGTACATGAAGCCGCCCTCACGGTGATTAGAAAATTCATGTGAACTAAAGTGATGAACAAACACTTGTTCAATCAGGTAGATGCTGAGAGTTAGTTGAGTTTGAATTTAAAATGCGCATCAGCGGATTTCCGTACTGAGGTGAGAAACACGGAAACCCCAAGTTAATTACCCTTTGTGGTTTCAGATGTGGTATGGAAGAAGGAACAGGGTCTTGAAAGGTTAAGAATGGGGAAGGAGAGTCATGACAAGTTTCAGTGAAATGGTGGCTGTGATCTCGTGCTCAGCACGTGACAGGTGCCGGGTGAGGGCATGCTGTAGTCATAGTAATTTTCGGAAGTGCTTTAATTAGAGTTTGCCTTGACACTAACCCCAAGGGGTGTCATATGCATAGACCCCAGGGTGTACGCAGTCCCATGTGGCTGTCCTGGGTGTTGATCTCACCATTCATTCAGGGGCTCTAAGCAATCAGTTACAGTTATGTGTCACACACATCACACAACCTTGTCTTCTTATCACGGAGAAAGAGTAGGGGGGCAGGGGACATTTTTGCCATCTGGATAAGGTTCAAATGAAATTGCGCGTAATGCAGAACCCCGGATTTATTTCGTGCTGGCCACTCAGACAGCCCTGAACAGGACGCACAGGGAGGCCCTGAGCTGGAGGGTGCTTGGCTAGTCTGCAGACGTTGTCGTTCAGGTCTGGCTTCTGGTAATTAGGTACTCCTGGCTGGGCTCGGCTGTCGGCGAGCCTTTGAGACAAATTGCAAAATCTGTACAACCATCTGGGAGATGGAGAAGTAGACCCCAATGACACTAGAGGGGATATTGGTAGTTCTCAGAAGTTTGAGAGAGAATGCTTGGAGAAGCAGTTCTTTAACCTGAATTTAGAGGTCCTTTTCCTGTGGTGAAAGGGTAAGTTCAGACAAGCATCAGGATCCGAGAGGATCCTGACAGGCTGCAATGATAGGCTTAATCTAACGGGATGAAGTGCAGTGGAAATAAGTGTAAGGTTCTGTATTTGGATCAGAAAAACCCCAGCTATGCATGAAAATACTGGGCACAGAGGTAGGGATCTATCAGAGGAGTAGTCTATATGAAAAAGACATCTAGGAGTTCAAATGATACAGATTTGACAGTTGATTGTGGTTCCCCAAAATCAAATGCAGCATTAGGTCACATTAACAGAGGTAGAGTATTTAGGATGAGGGAGGTGATAGACTTCTGCTATGGACTTGTCATAGGAGGAACACTACTGTAGTTCTGGGCTCTGAGAGGCTATGAGAAGAAGCTAGACAAAGGATGGTCCCCTGGATGGATATGGTAGTGTTCCAAAGCTGTCACAGGTAACAGGAACAGAGGAGGTTTGGCCTGAGTATAACTCCAGGAAGACCTGAAAGCTGTCATTAATATCTGAAAGTCAGTCATGTGCAGAGCCTTGTTCTTGTTAAGAGGAACAAGGAGAGGGGCACCTGGCTTGCTCAGTCGGTTTAGCATCTGCCTTCAGCTCAGGTCATGATCCCAGGCTCCTGGGATAGAGCCCTGCATCGGGCTCCCCATTCAGCAAGAAGCCTGCTTTTCCCTCTCCCACTCCCCCTGCTTGTGTTCCCACCCTCGCTCTCTCTCTAATAATTAAATAAAATCTTTAAAAAAAGAAAGAATCTGGGGATGAAAGTTATAAGAAGAAGCCCCAAATAAGAAGCGTCCTTTTTTTTTCCCCTTAAAAATGTTTTAAGGTGGGCGCCTGGGTGGCTCAGTGGGTTAAAGCCTCTGCTTTCGGCTCGCGTCATGATCCCAGTGTCCTGGGATCGAGCCCCGCATCGGGTTCTCTGCTCAGCGGGGAGCCTGCTTCCCCTCCCCCTCTCTCTGCCTGCTTGTGATCTTTGTCAAATAAATAAATAAAATCTTTTAAAAAAAAATGTTTTAAGGTAAAATGAACTGCTTCCATAATTCTAGAAGTGCTTGGTTAGGCTTCTAAGAATTGAGGCTTCTACTAGTGGGAGTGGATGACCTGGAGGCACTTCCCAGCCCCAGGATTCCATGATTCTTCTGCCTTCCCGTTGTGATCCTGTCCTTCGTGGTCCTACCACGGGCAGGCCGGCAGAGTCTTGATGACGGGAACCAACTAGGCAGTGCTGAGGGAGTCTTTAGAATCATCAGGTGAGATTTCCATACTCTTGGGTCGGTCATCAATAATGCCACTAGTTCTACCAGGGGCGATCTGGGGGTGGGGGGTGTGGTCCTTCCCTTTGACCAGAGGCTGTGTTATTTCCTCATTTGCTCTTTCTGAGTGCCCAGCGGTGTGCTGGGTGCTGGGGAGGCTTCGGGGCAGAAACAAAGCTCTTGCCATCTTCAGGTGTCAGCTTTGTCTGGGACGTAGGAGAGCACAGACAAACCCTACAGCGAGCCCCAAAGCTCATGTAGTATCAGTCGTACCCATCCCCACTTAGCTCCGGGGCTGTCTTTTTCCCATCACATTGTATAGTTCTTCAAAGTCAGGTGATTTGTTTGTCCTCCCCGTCTCCTGGCCGGGTAGGGTCATATTGTTTCCCCTACAGGTTATGAAGTTTTGAGGAGGTTAAGTCATTTTTTTTCGTTTTCTCTTTCATGAACATGACCTTGGGTATAGTTAGTTACTAGCACAGTGACAACCTGTGGGGAGTGTCTCCTTTCATGGTAGGAGCAGTTCATTCCCCAGTGGTTCTACTGGCTCTAACGGGAGATAACTAGAAGGCTGGGTGAGGAGGAGCGGGCATGAAAATTTAGGATGGAAACGGGTTTGTGGCCCCCCACCAGTTGCTCGTACAAGTTGAGCACCCCTTTAGGTACGAGCCTGTAAAGAAACCAAGAGACACATTTCTATCCTCAGTTGTTAATCCTAGTTCATCATTAAATGCCCTTCGTGCTAAATTTCCCCTGGTAAATATTGTTGCAAACAATTGTACTGTTTTCTTTTTCTAGCATTAATAGGTGTGCAGCTCCCACTTAAGGAGTCCTGATTCTAAATTCTTTTTTTGCTTTCAGAGGCTGTTTTTTGTTTTCGTTTTTGTGGTTTTGGTTTTTGTTGTTGTTGTTGTTGCTGTTGTTGTTTTTAAGGTAACCCATCTTATTGTAAATTCTTCTTTCTTTCAGGTAGGAATGAATTGATAGCCAGATACATCAAACTCAGGACAGGCAAAACGAGGACCAGGAAACAGGTAAACTAACGGGCCTGGACACTGTGCATGTCAGCGAATGGCCCCAACGAGGCATTTTGGCTGCAGTGGCTGTCTGTGCTTTGGCTCCTAGGAGCCCCCAGTTGGAGTCCCCTGTAAGGACGTCAGTGTTGTAGGTGTTTTCCATTGGCTCAGTTTTCACTGTTCATCATTTCAGTGACCCCTCACTGTGTGGTCTCACATACCTGGGAAAGCGTCTCCTCCAAGGACAGTGTAGACACTGCTCCTTTACTATATTTTAATACCTCCAGTTCTTTCCCGAACTGCGCATCTGTAAACACCGCGACAGCTGCGGGCGCGACTGTATGCTCGGAGGTCGTGAAACTTGGAGATTTTGCGCATTGTAAAATCCTGGAACCATTACCCGTGAGTCATCATTTCGATGGGACAGTAACCCCAGCAGCCGTGAGTCTTGGCCTGAACATAATACTGAACGGTGCGCGCCCAGGGACCGGTTGCTTCTTATGCTTATGGCCTTTGGTCAGTAGCGCTGTGATGGAAATAAAGTTACAACTTAAAAAACCTTTGGGCAGAGCAGTGTCAGGAATTTTGCTCTGCCCTTTGTCAGGGTTCTGGCTCTCCTTGTTCCTTCTGATGGAAAGCAGCCCAGACCCCCCGACCCAGTTCAGAACTGAAATGGACGAGAAATTCGGGTTTAATGAAAAACAGAAAAAGAAAGGAAGGAAGAGGGGCTGGGGTGGGTGGAATCAGACCAGCCTCACGGGTGAGTTGTTAACAGAACAAAATTATTTTTGGACGTTGACCTATGCGAATCTGTCTGGCATGGATTTTTTAAAAAAAGATCATCGTATCAAAAGGCGAGCTCAGCTGTGGTCTCGCTAAGTGTGAGCAGCAGATTCTAGTTCTCTGCTCCATGATGAGTTGTTTTCACGAGTGTTTACAGCGGGGAGAGCTTTTCCCCAGGAATGCTTCCATGTGCCCCCGCCAGGAGCCTGGCTGCTGAGTCAGCACAGAGGGCTGTGGCCTCCTGCCAGTGCACAGAGGCAGGGGCATTGTCTGTTCAGTGGATGTGTACCGCCCCCCCCCCCCCCCCCCCCCCCCGCCCCAGCAGTGGACAGAGGCCCTCAGCAAGTCAGAGAATCACGTGAGAACAGAACTCGGATGAGAACAAGTGAAAGCGGGAGCCGATGGAGGGGTGAAGAGGATGGGGGAGTTCCTGCTTTTCTGTACTTAAAAAAACAAACAAAAAAACAAATTGGAAAAAAAAAATCATTGAAACTGGAAGATAAAAGGATCTTTTATTACCCTAAATCCTGTTTTTAGAGTCAGCAGAGTATTTGAAATAAAATAACCACCTTTCTCAGTCTGAGTCGCTGAACTTTTAAATGGAAGTTTCTGAATTTCTGAAACAGATCTAATTCCCAACATGCTGAAAGCCTTGGACCTGAGCTGTCTGCTGGTCTAGGAGCTCTAGTCATGTGCCCAAGCCCTTCACTGGGGGACTCTTCTAAATTTAACCAAGTCCCACTGAAAGAGATGCAAATTTGTTTACCCAGTGGAATCGTCGTGTTTCAGAAGCTGGGCTTGGCTGGCTTTCCACACCCGGGCGTCCTGGGGATGTTTTTAGGCAGCCGTTGGTGATACCTCTCCAATGTGAATTTGTTGTTCAGCAAATCGTGTGGTTTTCAACCCAGATTTTTAACAGGATGGCTGGCTGGCTGTATTCACACTTTTCGCTTTGTAATAATATGCAAATCCACTTGGCGCCCAGTCAATATCCAGAAGAGTGGAAGGATTAAAGATATTTATAAGGGCAAAAAAAAAAAATTGCTCTGCTAACTGGGTCTTTCCATTTCTCTTTGAGATCTAATTTACATGTCAGTATTATTTTAACATTTGCTACAGAATCCAGAGCTCTTAATGAGCTCAGAATATAACTGACAGCTTCAGCTTTTTTGATTCTGCAGAATGTGCTAATTTATGGATAGTCTCTTCTAAATTGAGAAGAAGGGATTTTCCCTCCTGATACTGAGAAGCTATAAATATTTTCATTTACCTCTAGCCCCACCTTTTAAATTTCATAAAGGAAACAACTCCACTCTCCCCCTCTCATCCTGTGCCCATGATTTCTCCCTGGTGAGAAAACTAAGAGCAGCCTAACTTTCATCCTGAATCAAGTCACTGCAGTGATGACCCAGTCTGAAAAGCTTAGAACAGCGCTGGGGGCTTGGTGTCTGGCTGGGACTGTGTATTCCTAACTGCAGAGCTTTGTTGAGATGCAAATAACCTCCCCCCCAACCCCCCACCCCAGAACCCTCCCAAGGAGTAGCGATTTTATATTTGATTTCCTTTTTTTTGTTTTGTTTTGTTTTGTTTTGTTTCCCCTCATAAACCCGAACAATGTAGGTGTCTAGTCATATACAGGTCTTAGCAAGAAAGAAAGTTCGAGAAATTCAAGCCGCCATTAAGGTACGTCTGGCTTGCCCAGTTGTAGGGGGCTTTTCATCTCCATGGTTACAGGCTTTTCCTTTGTTTTCCTCCCTTCCCCTACCCTGCAGGTGTCTAGTCACATTCAGGTTCTTGCCAGAAGGAAATCTCGTGATTTTCATTCCAAGCTAAAGGTATGCGCTTTCCTGCTTTTTGGCTTGTGGTTGCTATGCATCTCACTTCCTGTTTTCCATGGTGACTGGTGAATGCCTGGTGCTGGGATTCTCGTAACCTAGTTTCCTCGCATGTGAGAGCTGTTTACATTTCTTTGTGTCTAATCTCTCTTTCTGTACTAGCCTCACATTAAGCTCAGTGTGTGTGTGTGTGTGTGTGTGTGTGTGTGTGTGTGTGTCCCTAATAACAATGCAAATGCAGCAGAGAGCTGGTCTTGATAACTTTTCAGCACAGAAACATGATTTTTTTTTAACCTTCAAATGTCCACCAAATAGCCCTGGGCTACAAGAGGGGGGGGGGAAAGTCCAGAGACACCAAGTTATTGTAGAAATAGCAAATAAATAAAATAAGAATCAACTTCCAGAGTAGTTACCATGAAATTACTTTAAAAGAATAGTTAGAAGTTGTTTTACGCTCTTAATGTATTTTAAAGAATACTTATGAAAGACACGTCTTTTTCATGTGTTCTTTCAACACAGAGAGGATTTTCTGCCAGATTTCTTCCATATTGCTCAATACTGTTTTTTAAGTGTATGGCTCTGTTACTTAAAAAAAAAATAAATAAATTGAGGTGAGGCCTTAAAAAAAAGATCTTAGAGATGGGAAAGCTCTTAATGAAATCCATGTTTGCAGTTCCATTTATACGTGAATTTAATTGTTCTTTACGTGTGTCTGATTTTCCAGTCTCTGAAAATATATTTTGCCGGAATAAACAGAGGCATTGAGAGTTTTTAAATGCAAGTTCTCCTTATTTTCTCCCCTTCCAAGATTTATAGTAAAACATAAATGACTTTTTTTTTCCATAATGCCCTATTTTAGAAATACGGAGGGATTATAGTTTGCACAGAAGTGCTTTACTTTCTAATAAAAATGAGTTTGTAGCCCATATCATTTCCTTTCCCACTTAACTTTCTCGTGGTTGTTCTGTTCTGATTTTCCCCATACATTAATTAAATTTGTTTTTGTACTAAACCTAAAGAACAAAGTGTGATTTCACAGCACCGAACGGTCGACACTGGGATCCTTCCCAAAGTCCTCCTAAATTTTTTTTTTCTTTTATGCAAACAAGGCTGGCTGTGGAACAGCACTAGTGACCAGGAAGGAGCATTTGGTGGCCCTCTGCAGTGGGCAGCATGCTCGCTCGCTCGCACGTGTGGCTGATGGTGGCTGGCTTTTAGCTGCACTGGCTGAGCAGTTAGTTGGAAGACTAAGATAACCTCATAGATCCTGCTTTTTAACCAAGGGTGCCGTCCTCTCTATGTGGATGCAACTACCCCAGTGTTTGCTCAAGTTCTGACTCTGTTTCTGGTTTCTCTGCGCTAACGAATTAATGATGTACAAAAGAAGTTGACAGACATCGATTTTGTGTTCCCATCTGCGATGTTATGAATTGCTCTATTTCTCTACCATCCGTGTGGTTCCTGCTGCCCCTCCCCCTACCCCCCCACCCCGAGCCCACTGCCCTGGACCAGAAGCCCTGTACGTGACAAACTAAGCTCTCCTGTCCAGAAGGGAATCCCCATGGGATGCGGGAAGGGCTCTTTTTCTCATTTGGGAACCTGAAGAGTCTTCCTCGGCGGAAACAGTTTACCGTTACTTTATACATACGTGTACCCCCAAACACACGGCGATATCTATGTTTGTTCTTCCAAAATAAGAGAAGGTGACTCTCCCCCTCCTTTCAGCCCTGGCCCAGTCTGCTTGAGGGCAGACCCAAGGAGGAGGCAGAAACAGGGGTGGTCGGGTAGCAACCAGCTCAGCCTTTCAGCTCTGAGCGCCACCTGCATCTTCTTACATTTACTTGCCTTCCTCCCTGCCACATTATTCTTGGAAGAAGGGAGGCCTTTGTTCTTCCTGTCAGCTAATAGCAGTTGAGCGTTCCGGGCATGGCGTTCATCATGGTGGGCATTGAACAGCCAACCCCCAATTCACAGAGCTGGCCGTGGAAATGGGAATTGGAAGTACAGGGCACTGTGGGATGGTAAGTGTTAGCAGACAGAGCCAAGAACAAACATGGAGGGAATCCTAGGGATGTGCCGCGTGGTGGTGGGAATGCAAAGACAGGAGTCAAGTGTGCTGAGGGTCTCTTGGACGGTCTCTCCACTGAGCTCGCTGCCAAGGCAGTTCCATTATTGAGAGTTTAAGGAGTAACACTGAGGAAACCAGGGCTCCAGGAGTTTAATTGATGTGCCCGGAGCTCCCCAAGCATAGCACACGTCACTGTCAGGATTTGAACTGAGATCTTTCTGAATCATAAGCCACTGCTCTCTCAGGCAGGGCTGTGTCCAGTGGAGGTGGGAGACGGTTTTTAAGCAGAAGGCCTTGTGCCAGCACAGCCCTGTGTCACCCCTCGCGTCCCTTGGAGCTGGGCATGTAGCTCTTGCTACTGACCTTTTCCTCGGTGCTCGCCTTTTAGAAGCAAGGTGAATTTTTAACTTAGAGCCCTTGGTCCAGGTGTGGGCTTCGTGTGTGCCTGACCCTGTGGTAGTCACCCGTAACTCAGGGCAGTGAGGTCCTAGCCACAGAGCTGCTGTGTCACCACTCAGAGGACGTTAAGACAGTCTAGGAGCATGGGACCAGCTGTCGCCTGCCTGCAGAGAGGGTGCGCCTTCACTGCCCATGGGTGTTTGATGTTAGAGACACCTTCCCTAACCTTCCTAACCAGCTGTACCCGGGAGGTGGTCTTATAGGAGAGGTTGATGGCGCCCGTTTCTCTGTGCTCCCTCATTCAGCTCTGGGGTCTAACAGCGCATCTGTGGGAGGCAGGGCTGAGTCTCCCGGTTGAGTTTGTTGTGGGGTCAGGCTGATAGCCATGTCATCTTGGCCTCCCACACGAACTAACGAGATAAAGTTGCCACAGAAGGTGGAAGTCATCCCAGCAGGTGATGAGAGTAGCTTCTGGGTGGGTGGTGGGGGTCAGGAAGTATCGAGATTTAACAGAGATGTGGTTTGCCTGAGAAGATGTGGCAAGGCCTCCTGGAGGGAAGGTGGCCGCTGACTGGCCACTTCAGGACCTGCCCCGGCCTGCCAGCCTCAGCCTGCCACTGGTCACTTGACCGTACGCTTCCAAATCAAGGATTTCTATTCTCTGGTGGTGGACGGAGGCCGGTAGCCCTCCTTTGAAAAATGAAGCCAAGCTTCATCTCTTGGTCCTACTTTGGAGTTGGAAAAAGGTGGTTTGCTCAGACCTAGGACCACTGCCAAGTGTGGCCTCCACGTGAGCCCAAATGCCTAGGACCGCCCCCCCCCCCCATTCCCGGAGAAGGGTGTGCTAGAGTCCTTGAGGCTAGTCACTTTCCAGCCTTTTTTAAGCCACAAACTCATACTTCAGACTGAAATCTTAGTCAAAACATTTAATATATAAATGAGTAAACACTATTCTTTTTCTTTTTCTTTTTCTTTTTTAAGATTTATTTATTTGATAGAGCAGGAGCAGGAGGGCCCGAGGGAGAGAGAGAGAGGGAATCAGAAGTGAACTCCAAGTAGAATTTGGAGCCTGGCACAGGGCTTGATCTCACAACCCTGAGATCAGGACCTGAGCCGAAATCAAGAGTCAGACACCTAACAGACTGTGCCACCCAGGCACCTCCAAATGAGTAAATGCTGTTTTGATTGAAGCTCATGCTCTTTTATCTTTAGCAATGGCCTCTTTGGCTATTCCACTGAATAAGGTTTGAAAACCACCCTGCTTGAGGCAAAGGGACAAGGAGGTGACTTCCTCTCAGCTGTTCCTGCAGCCTCTACAGGACAGCGTGTGCCCTGCAGCAAGCTCTACCCTATTCCTCTGAAGAAAACACACTCACGGAGAGAGTGGTCATTCCTGGGTCACAGTCCAGCCCTTGAAAATCTATTTAAAATAAGTTGCAAAGGTCAGCTTTAGGCTTTTGCTAATTGCAGAAGCGGTTCTCAGAGTGCTTGTTCGTGAGCTAGATTTGCCCCCAAATGTGTGGGCTTTAATTTTAACTTTTTTTTTTAAAAGATTTTATTTATTTATTTGAGATAGAGCACAGAGGGAGAGGGAGAAACAGACTCCCTATTGAGCAGAGAGCCCGACGTGGGACTCCATCCCAGGACCGTGGGATCATAACTGAGCTGAAGGCATATGCTTAACTGACTGTACCACCCAGGCACCCCTAATCTTAATTTTTATAACAAAATTTGTTTTGGGGGGAAGTTTAAGATTTCCACAAAGATTCAAGCTTTATAAAGCACAAAAATGATTAATTCACTCCAGTAAACTTCTCATCGAGAATCCAGTGTGTTCTAGACCCTTGAGCAGATATTGGGCTTAGAGAGTCAAATATGCAGAGTGTCTGTTCTTGAGGACACTAAGCTTTTCTGTTGCTTTTGGCCACATTTGGGAGAAATATGAGGCTTCCAGTAGGTTGTCCCACAGCTGGGGGACTGCAGTGGAAAAGAGTGGGTGGTTCTGAGTGTGGGATAAGTAAGGAAAGCCTCATTGGAGGGGGTGCCATCAGAACTGGGCATTCAGGAAGACAGACAGTTCCCCCGAGATATGGGGGTGTTTGGGGAATCACCAAGAACACCATCACTTTGAGGCATGGGATGGGAACGAGACTGGAGGAACTTAACAGGAAGGTCCTGGGTCATCTATGGGAGGGTGAGGGTCAACTCCCGGCCTTGGGGAGCGTGTGGGAAGCACTCACACTTAAGCTTTGGAAAGCTCTCTCCCACTCTTTTCAGAGGGATGGCCAAGAGGGAGGCAGAGCTGGAGGCAGGGAGCCTAAATCAGGGGGTGCTGTCGTCTGAGAGAGCGGTGAGGGCCTAGACAGGGCAGCCACACGCGC